CTGTAGAACAGTGGTCCTCAACCCTGTTTGGGCCAGCACCCCCCACTAGCCATGATTGAGGGACCCTAATGCCCCACCTCCCCCCGTTAAAGGAGTCATAAACTACCTGCATTAAAAAAGTATTTTTATTATTATTATAGTTGTGTTGTTATGATTATCATTGCTTCTGATCACCAATTAGAAATAAGCACTTCACTGAATGACAAACAGGTGCTATATGTTCACTGTGCTACTGTGCTAATACTAGGAAAATGCTAAATGTGCAATTAAACCTATCACTTCCTAATCACTGTGAAATAACCACCTCTGTTGACAATAACATAAAAGTTGGTTTTCTTTCTGTTGAAAGCAGTTCAAAGTTATCAAAGAAGTTTAATGTTAGGTTTTACGGAAAAAAAAAACACTTTATGTACTTTATGAAACTTCAAATCKKTTGCTTTGTTRATCAGCAAATATCTACGTGGATGGACTTTGAAATGCCAACAGGTCACAGGTGTAGGGCTTCTCACCAGTGTGGACTCTTTGATGAATCTTCAGCTCTCCCATACTTTTTAATCTSTTCTCACAGTGGTCACAGGTGAAAGGCCTCTCACCAGAGTTGTTGAGTTGATGTTGGTTGAAACTCTGTAACTCACTGGAGCTCTCCTCAATCTGGCCGCTGCAGTGTGGTCCTTCTGGAGCTTTGAATGACTGGATCAGCCGGTCCTCACCGAAACCACCTCCACCTTTGTCTTCARGTCCATCTGGACTTYTGCASGTCTCTTTCTGAAACACAAGAGTAGAGGAAACCGTTGCAGTAGTAGTTCAGGATTTGATTTCATACAAGTCAGAAATAAAATGAAAYATTTAGATTTTATGGTGAATACTTTGTATGAGCTGATTTCAGGAGTGATTGGACATTTTTTTGTTGTTCAAAAGGAAAACAAAACTCATCCAAGCAACAGAATCCTGTTCTGTKTGTGKATTTTCCATACATTCCACACATGCTTRYATTTGAAATGTGGTTCAATTTGAAATTAAACTAAGTCTTGCCATAATGTTTCATTAAATTTTCTATAATTCAACTGCTTTAAGTACATTTGACATTTCCTACCAACCAATGTAAACATGAGAAAGTGTAACTTTTTTTCAGAGTGKTTAGATTGAACAGTGACTTACTTCTGCCACTCCTGGCATGGTGCTACTGCTGTCACTGTCCTTTGTTTGAAACGCCTCCATGTTTGAATCCGCTTTAAGAAAGGAAACAGTGTCAAGAACAAACTCAAAAACCTACAGAGCAATGAAATAAAACTTAACWTCCTTACAGCAGAATGTACAGAAACAACACTGGCACAGTATAACTTTTTAGAATACATGACAATAAAAATCAGTTTGTGCGCAGCAGAAAACCTATTCTTAGTTAAGAACTTTTAATAATACACAAAACCAAATAAAAGTAGAACAATAAAGGGAAAAACTATTTCTTACCAGGTGCTTTGGTGTCTGCAGAGGTCTGTGGTTGTCCTTTAAATGGATCAGAGTTGCAGCAATTTAACATAAAACACTTTCTATGGTAACCGCATTTCTGCTCAAAATGTTCTGTTTCTGTAGAAGTTTCAAATATCAACAAGAAGTTTAAACTCCTTAAAGACWATAGCTGTTGCAGGTTAATGAATGCAAAGCATGTCACAATAAACATGCACATTTAAATCATAACAAACACAGCTGCAAACCTGCTGATAGTCCACAGATTTGCAGTGAAGTGCGAAGGTTTGGGTAGCCTTGTTAAATTTCCTGATTTACCTTTATAAATCATTGATTGTTTGGATAAAAAATATCAGTAAAATATATCATATAGGGGACAAACACATTGATATTTGAGAAGTAAAATGAAGTTTAAATTGTTTACAGAAAGTGTGCAATAACTGATTAAATAAAATTAGACAGGTGCATAAATTTGGGCACTGTTTTCACTTTATTGATTTTAAAACCTGTATTGGAACTCAAACTTGGTTTGGTAAGTTCAGTGACCCTTGACCCCAATGCACAGGTGACTCCAATTATGAGAAAGGGCATTTAAGGGGGGCGATTGTAAGTTTTTCTCCTCTTTGCATCTTCACTGACGAGTCACAGTGTGGGAGTCTCAAAACAACTTTCAAATGACCTGAAAACAAAGATTGTTCATTGTCATGGTTTAGAACAATACTGTTTTGTATGTCTTTAACCATCCAACTTTTATCATTTTCTTAAACATACACAGTGATTTTCAACATCACTCACCAAATTATTCCATAGTTTTATTCATTGAACTTGTTCCTTCATCAAACAAAACATATCTTTTTATTCTTGCACAATCTTTTATATTATATTTTATTAGTACCAGTATCATTGCTGGTTAGYGGTAATTTCGCTTTTTGTGCATTTTTTATCATTTGTAAACTAGTGTGTGAACCTCTACTGATGCTGCTGTGACACCTGAATTTCCTCTTGGTGGGACAATAAAGGCTATTCTATTCTATTCTATTCTATTCTATTCTTATCCTCAACCCTCTTCATGTGTTTTGCAGTGTTTAACATCCTGGTCCATGTGGGAGTGGTGCTCACTTACCCCATCCTCATTTCTATTGGGACACTGCTCAGTGTGCCGGGCAATGCAGGTAGGTTTTTTTTAACTTATTACTTCTAATGTTATAATTAGCATCCTGTTATTAGACTCTAGTTATGAAAAAAGGATAAAATGGCCACACAAATAGGGGTGTTTGAATTGTTGGGTCAGCACTTGGGGCAACTAAAGCAAAGAGATTACACAGCAAGTCTGCCTCTCCCGTCCTGGAAATCCAATCATCGGTGTGCAACAACAGATCCACTAAGGGAGGATCAGGTTGCCAGGGCGACAGTAAATGCCTGCAGACGAGTTCTTGTCTTTAACCATGATGGACTGTAGGAAGGTCAGTGGGTTACAACTCATCCCAGAGCTTCTGATCACAGAGACAGAGGATAAAGTGGATTGCTTGTGTTGATTATAAGCAGCTCAACCCCTACAGCTGAGGTTTATCTTTAAGTAATTAATCTCAATTTGTTTTTGTTTCTCTGCCCCCCTTCATGCTCTGCTATTYCCCCCCCTCTTATGTTTGTGTCTCTCCTCGACTCTGTGAAGCTGTAGATGTGCTGAAACATGAGGTGATCTTGAGCATGGTGCGGCTGGCGGCCACCTGCACCATCTGCCTGGGATTCCTGCTCCTGCTGCTGCCRGAGGAGTGGGACTCGGTCATCCTGCGATTCCTCGCCAACGTCGCGGACAAGAAGTCCGAGGAGCACGGAGAGGAACTGACCGAGTCCAGCGTCAACACGCGGAGCCGCAGTCGAGCAAACGGCGCCGTCTCCATCCCCTTAGCATGACACGGCTGACTCCTTCCATRAACTTCTGTTAACAATCCTTCAAGCTCTGTCTGCTTCCTCCCCTGAAGTGCAGCAAGATGCTCAGTTCACATGGACGCCTAATTCAGGGAGACAAGAAGCACTGACTTGAAATGTGATTTTGACCTCTGGCGCTTCGCAGCAGGAGGGGAACGATATGAACACGTGTGGATCACGCAAAGCAAAAGGTTTAAAAGTGRAATTTCCTGAAACTCTTGCAAACGCTTCACCCGATGTCCCGCTCGCTCCCAAAGCAAGAGCTGACTGGCTTCTCCTGACATGCTCTGCAGACTGTATTCTGTGAATATAAATGAGAGCAGGGCCAGTTTGACTCAGTTTATTTATATTTATTTAAACCTGAACCGATGAGTTTTGATTTTACGTCTTACTGAATTGTATTACTTGCGAAAATGGCAGTTATATTTAATGTACAGGCTCTTTTGATTTTAAAATAAAAGGCAAAAAAACTTTCACATCATGTCATCAAAGGAAGACTGGGTGTGGCCAAAGTTACACTGTATTTGATATTTAGAAAAAAATATATATATGTATATACCTTTTTGAAGAAACATCCAGAATGCAAGATCAAAAGCTGAGAACAGGACTCAACAATGTGAAACAAACTGACAACAATATCAAACTACAGAATTTGCATTTCCTGTGCAGAGGAGATACTCAACGCTGAAAGATTTCTGCTGAATAGCTAAAAAAGTTGACTTGAAACTAGCCTAAAATACCTTTAAAAAGTAGCTGAAATTAGCACAAAGAAACAGAATGATCACATTTGCTGAATTAGCAGTAAGAAGCTTACAAAAAGCTCAAATTAGCTAAAAAGTAACAAGTGAAAGGAACATAAAAAGCTTAAAGTAGCAAAAAAGGTGAAAGAAGCATAAAAGCTTTGAAATTAGCAGAAGAATAGCAGAAGAGGCATGAATGATAGCTAGAAAAGCAGAAAAGAGGAGTTGTGAACGACGACGTAGATTTACTGCACTGATTTAGTCTGCTTGGACTTTAGCTATGGCAGCAGTGAATGAGGCCAGTCCACGCTGAGTTTCAAATTAAAAGAAATTTGTCTCCCACAGCCTGCAGCCCTCATTTACAGCCATCTCCTTCAGCTCGGCTCTTCTTTCCTCCCAGTAGGGGATGACTGTTTACAACACACACATTTTCCACTTAGCTTCATAGCTTAGCTTTCTTCACGGTCGAGCACTACATACATACATCACAGCCAAATGTTAGCAACTGGATAAATCAGATCCAAGCAAGATAGCAATAACTGAGAGTCCAGACCCTCCGTATGAAGCAACGTGTAAGACAAAAGGGTGTGTTTTTTTAAAAGGCTAGAAAACAGCAGAACCTGATCAAAACGTAAAAAGCACAGTAAAGATTTATAAACATTTTAAAGGATTTTAAAGAGGCTGAAGAGAGCTCCATTCATTTTCAATGAGAAAAACATGGCAGAAAAAGCTAGATATCTCAAAAAGCTTGTGGAATATCTTGACGGAGAACGTTTTGATATATCCATCCATCCATTTTCTGTACACGCTTCTTCCTTTTCAGGGTCGCGTGGGTCACTGGTGCCCATATCCAGCAGTCACAGTGCGAGGGGCGGGGTACACCCTGGACAGGTCGCAAGTCCATCACATAATGATATATAAATTGATATATAAATTGTTCAAATAACAGAAAAAGTGTGCGACGTGACACATGTCAAAAAATGTACAGAAGAATGATCTCGATGATGATGAGGACTTTGTTTTGACTTCCATTCATTTTTCTAACTGTATTTATGCCTAACCCAGTTATTTTCCCTAAAAATTAACCATTACTGGTCTATTCCTATCCCTGACCTGAACCAAAACTTAATTCACACCGTACCTCTAAACCTAACTAGTAAATCACAGCAGAGCTGACAACATAGTGGACATTGAAGAGGTCCTCACTTTACATCAAAGACCTCACTATGGCGCAAATGGTCCTCACTCTGTAGTCAAAACAAGTACACACACACACACACACACACACACACAC